CTTTTAGCCTTTTCATAGAATTATGTAACTACTATCACAATTAATTTTAGAACATTTTTGTTACTCCCCAAAAGAAAACCTGTCCCTCTTAGCTATCAGCCTACCTTCCCCCAACCGTAGGCAAGCCCAGTTTAGTTTCTGTCCCTATAGATTTATGTGTCCTGGACATCTCATGACTGCAGGTTCATACCGTATATGGTCTTTTGTGAATCGCTTCTGTCTCTTTAACATAATGTTTCCTCTTGGAGATATATCTATAAATATATGATCTCCTGGTCACGGGATAATCCCATGCTCAACTTCTGAGGAACTCCTAGGCCTTCCAAAGCACTGCCCATGTTACATTTCCACCAGCAGTGTACAAGCTTGCGATCTTGCCATCTCCTTGCCAGCATTTATTACCTGTCTCTTTTACTGCAGCCAACCTGGTGGATGGCAAGTGGTAGTACCTCACTGCAATTTTAACACTGTTTTGGTTTTTTTTCCCCAAACATGTGCCCAGAAGCCCTTATTCACTGCATTTGCGAGATCTTAACTCTTGAGTGTGGTGCTCAGTCCTTCCACGGTTGCCACATTCCATCTCAGTCTCTCTTCTGTTGCTCCTCCCTGGCCCTGTGAGACAGGGAGGGAGGATGGTGCTGATCCCATAGGGCCAGGTTCCCTTCCACCTGCCCAGCTGTCCTTGAAATTATACTGGATTGCAATGAACTCAGGAGGGGAAGAGAGTTGGGGTTCTAAGAGCAAAACTGGAAAGGTGTGAGTGACCGCCTGCCTCTAAGACCAGGGCCAGGAGTGACCTTGTACAGACAAGGGGTGGAAACAGTGCCAAACACGTAGTTACAGAGCCAGGGCCCGCCACTTTCCGCCTGCAGTTCTGGGTGGTGAGTGATAACACCATGGCCTGGCTGCATATCCAGCAAAGCCGGAACAGGACACATGACCTCGACTCCAATTCTTAATGTGTGTGTGTTTGTTTTTCTCTGCTCTCCTCTCCCAAAAGATTAGGTAAGGAGTTTCCCAGCCTGATCTAAAATTTTTCTTAAAATTTTATAAGAAGACCGCTTAACATACTAACTTGTCAGTTCCCTGGTCTTTTTAAATTCATATAAAAAAGATGTCTCCCCTGCATAACCTAGTGATGTTCCTATTCCAGTGATGCTTTGGTTCTGTGGAACTCCTTGAATTCACTTTTTCCATGTACAACTCTGTTAATCAAAATTATTTTTGTGATGGGGGTGGAGATATAGCTCAGTGGTAGAGCATTTTCCTAGCGTGAGAGAGGCCTTGGGTTTAATTGATCCCCAGAATCAAAAAAATAAGTAAATAAATAAATGCTGTAAAAAGTCTTTATTTAAATGCTTTTGGGACTCACATAACCCTTGAATCCTCTTGTAAATAAAAATGACTTACGTAGTTTCAAAGTTTGATTGGCTATTGACACTTCTAGAAGATTGCCAGCGCATCCTAAATCCTGAATGTCCTGTTTTTAGTTGTTTCCAAGATAAGGCACTATCTTTACACAGACCCACAGCTCCAATAACTGCCACCCTGCAGGTGCCAGGTCCCTTATCAAGGCGGGACAGCCAACTCAGAAACAAACAATTTCTACATAGGCCCTTTGCCTCTCCTATCCTCAAACTTGAAATTACTGGCCCACTGTATTTAATCTCTTGCCGAGAAGCTAACACATGCTGACCTTTTGTAATAGAAAGTTCTATTTCAGTTATAACTAAATTCTCATGTAGCCCCAGAGGGGAGTGGAATTGGTAGAGAAGTCGATGATTTTTCAGAGCCCCGAGGTAAGAAAATGTGAAGGAGAGCATTTTTAATATTCTGCATTCTGATTGCTTAGCCATAGAGAACATGGCCAGCATTAAATTAGGAGCTCTTCCTCTGTGAATTCTCTTTCTTGGAATCCTGTGCTAAGAATCATCAAGGGAAAGTCAATGTCTGCACGCTACCCCTCCCTCACCAGAAGGTGGCGCTCTAGCTGTGCCGTTTCCAGGGGCCCTTTCCAAGCACACCATGTTCTCCCCTGGGACTCTGGCTAGTTATCTCCTGTTTGTTCTTTGCCAGGTCTGTGTGCCCTCTCTATCAACCATTCCAATTCTTACCTGGCCTATCCTGGAAGCCTGACAACAGGCGAGATTGTGCTTTATGATGGAAACTCCCTGGTAAGTTGACAGGTCCCCAAGCGCCCTCCCACCTGCTTGGCTGTGTGATGAATGGAATGTGATAAGGAGCCCATCACGGTGGAGGATAAGGAGTGTAGAGGTGGACGCAACGCTGGGGGTGTTTTCTGGTCATAGCAGCTGGGTGTGGGGAGAAGGTGATGATATTTGCCCTGGGCCTTGCCATCAGACAGCATCACTGGGAGGCAGAACATGCCGGGCCAGGGCAGAACATCTGCAGTAGAATGGAATCACTTGGCAGATGGTGGCTGATTGTCTGATTGGATGGGTCACACTGCACCGAGTCACCAAGCTGTGGCCTGAGACGGAGTGCAGCTGGTCCACGTTTCCTGCCATCTGGTCTCTGAGGCTTCAGAGAGCAGGGCAGCTTTGCCGTGGGAAGTCCCCTGAAGAGGCGTGCCCTGGAGAGCCCAATGACAGCACCACAGCACCAGGCACAACTGTGACCCATCTTCCAAGGGCAGGAGAAGGGGTAGAAATGGAGTAGCTTCGAAATCAGCTCTCCATACACTAGCCAAAGGACGTGTAGCTCATATGCAAAAACTTTGGTGCAAAGAAGGGAGATAGAGAAAGCCCGGCAAGAGAAAGAGAAGGAAGAAAAGAGGAAGGAGAGGGAGATGGAATCCATCTTCCTTCCTCCCCAGCACCTATATGCGTTTCTCCTTTTCACCAACAGAAAACCGTCTGTACCATCGCTGCCCATGAAGGGACGCTGGCCGCCATCGCCTTCAACTCCTCAGGCTCCAAACTAGCAAGCGCATCTGAGAAAGTGAGTATACACCAGCATCTCCCGCCGTCAGGGAGTCCCCTGGATGGCTCCTGAGATGCCCAGAGATCTCATGCAACGAGGCTGGTGACATGAGGCCAGCTGGTCTCGGGCCTGCTCAGAATTTGTTTCCAAGTGAGGATTTCTAGTCCCTGCATGTTGTGGTTTGTTAATTCAGTCAAGCAAAGGCCCATATTAGATAAGGCACAAGACACTTGGCACAAAGTCTTGGGGCCTTACTGAGAAATGTGTGTGCA